AATACAAAACCAATTATCAAGAATAATTTTGAAATAAAATGTGCATGTACATGAAACACCAGTGATTTATTTAGATAGATCAAGAAATAGGTTCAGCAGAGGACCTGTACAAGGATAAATCATGGCTAGACCATCCAAAAGCAAGAAATCTGACTGTTGAAAAGCACAAGCATTGGTAAATGTAAAAAAATATCCTTACACATATATGATGACAGTCTATATTGCTGAGCATTTTGTTAAGGATAAAAACCAATAATAGATCAGTAAGCAGCACATTCAGGTAGAGAGTAGCCCTTTTCGATTTTTGCAATATGTTGTGGTACAGTCATCTCTTCAACTATAGATCAAATAAACCATTGAACAAGCACACCAAGCAAAAACCAGTTCTATAGATCAAGAGCAATCAGATCCAATAGCTGAGCTAACCCAAGCAAAAAAGCAAGCACCATTGCTGACCATAAAAACCATTACACACAAATAACAGTAACAAACCGCCCTAATGCTCAAGCTGCTACACCATGGCGCGCAGCACAGGCCATAGCTAGCTCGCTTAACCCAACACGACAAACATAAACACCACCAATCTCTAACACTATGACCTCCTCACGCTAGAAGATTTTACCAATCAAGCAAATTGACACCACGTCACGTAGCAGCATAGGCAAAGCAGAACAACACAAACTACACAAAAGTTTGGCTTGGTAAAATAAAGCATCCAAAATTTGGCTTTGCTAGATTAAGCACTTAAGCAGCAAGCAGCGTAAATGTCTCCCCACCATTCTCTGCAGCCAAATGCCCTCAACTGCAAGGGTTGGTGCAGTACGACAGAGAGGGGGGTTGCCCAGTCATTCTCACCACCAATTGGAATTTTAGGAAAGTGATGATATCAGTCCAGTCAAAAAAACATTCATATAGGACACAAGCAACATATATAAAGATTTTTTTAAAAAAACAATTTCTGCTTCACGGTGTGCTTTGCTAGCCGACATAGCAAAGTGAACACTGACAATTATCTCATACTCATACCGCAGCGGTTCAAACAGGATAGAAACAACAAATAATCAAGCAAATAGGTTAATCTTGACTTACAATTCAAGAAGATACTTGAGATCACCAATAATAAGATGAACTGGTCCAGAGAATTCATTATAGGAAAAAGATCTCTGTGCCACAATCAAGGAAGAAGCTAGTTATCATAATGAAGTGGCTGCAAGGCTGCATCCGTACACATAACTAAGAATTCATAGCACTAGGCGTTGATCAAAGAACTAAAGATTGCAGCAAAGTTGATCAAAAATGTTGCAATTGACATCAGTTTTCAAGTAAATTTAGATTGCAAACACTGTTGAATTGTGAAAGAACTAAAGATGGACATATATATAGAAAACCAATGTGTTTCTTTCTTGAGCAGAAACCCACATCTAAAACTAACAGCCAGTGATATATCCATCTGAGGAAATTTGAAAAGGTCTTGCATCCCAGAAATCCCATAACTAAGGTTATCTGAATATCTATTAGGCTACTTCCTTTCATGTGTTTAGATCAGTTAGCTTTCAAAATTGTAAATGTTAGACAGTTCCCACATAGACAAATATGTTCACTCCTGAGTTCAGAGTTTCAAATTCAGAAAACTGAACAACAACATATAAAGGGGTATTTTAGCCTCAGCCCGGATCATTTATGTCAATTGCAAGTGAAAATAGTTTAGGCATAGAAATATGTCCATATTTCATCAAAGAACTAAAGTACCAAACTATAAATAGAATAGCAGCACAAAGTTGAACCATACAAGTACCAAAACTGATGCTTACATGACTAAGGCTTACAACGGCTAATTAAGCATGATACCAACTCACTGATTTGCACAAGAACATAGCTATCAACTGATGAAAACAATTGCAGGCACAGAACACTGCAAAAGAAAACAAGTGCATCCACACTACCACCCTTAATAGGATAATGGCTCCACACACACGCATGCTATAGTAGCCTTTATCCCAAGAAAGTTGACCACACTACAGATGAAAACCAACAAGAAGCACAGAAAAAAGGATATGACATTTATAAGGGGAAAAAGAAGCGATTCAAGTTAATTCTTTGAAGACCAAACAAATTGAAAATAACTACAGGATAGACAACAAAGGAATATCAGCACCTTCAAGGCGCTCTTGTTTAGTATCTTAGCGAGTAGTTTAATTTTCCTGCTTAATCAAATGGGAAATGACAAACAAAATTGAAGATTATAGGTGACAAGAATGGATATTGCACATGTCAAATACCATAATTGCTGTAATTCAATTATGCAAATTACTGCTAATAAAAGTGCAATCTAGAAATAGGTACTAACTAGTACGATCCAAAGCGGGAGCAGCATTTTCAGCCAATTGATTTTCTTTTGAATGACTACATGAACCTCAAAAGTATATTTAGATAATGGAAAAATGTGGATTAGCAGCTGCTATGAACCTATGAACGGTTCACCCAGCAAATCATAATTGGAATTTGAGAAAAACAAACAAACAAAACAGCTAGCAGTGGCACACACGTCTGCGCCCGGAAACGGAACACCAAGACCACAAATCTAGTTAAATCAACACAAACATTCTTGGTCTGCAATTCAAAAATGCAAGGTAATGTTAATCCCAATCGAAGGAAACCAGAACACAGGAAGGCACCCCCTGGCCACATAGACATTCCTGCAAACAGCATATCCACCCACACAGACGTAATCATTGTATGTTACTTTCCAAGAGTAGTTTAACAAATTGTCCAGTATGAGCATGAACTCAACATTTTATCTGACAGGAAAACGAACACCAAATCATATGAGGTCCTTAAAGAAAACAGGGTGCACCTTCGTTTAATTCTTCTCTTCCTTATATGTGGAGACTAGGAATATACTAGCAACTTATTTAGAATGGATCTGTACTAGTTTTCCTCAGTGTGATGCACACGTAAGTTTAAGTGGTGCATGCCTAGGCATCTACTGATAAATCATCAGATTAAAGCGAGGTCATCCATGCTCGGTTGCTCATGAGCTACAAGTCTACACCCAGGAGCTAATAATCTGAGATAGCACTTAATTATGAAGACAACTAAACCCAACACAATCTAAGCACTGGTCCATATTAATTATAATTCAGTCTTAGCAAAATATTTCAGAATTCAATAAACCTTCTTGCAGTAATCAACTGAGAGATGCTCCAACAGAATTCAGACTCCATATCACCACAATGAACAATATATTTTGAGCGTCCTCTATGTTCAATTGTTGAGGATGATGTTGATACTAGAGCAAGGAAGCGGGACTCGCCTGTGGACTCCTTGTCTTCCCAGGCTGTTGGACCTATGTAGCCAGCACTGCATCAACACACACAAGAAACTGTGCAAATCTTATTCTAGCACTGATTTACCTCCCCCTCCCCACATTCTGAAATGCCATGCTAATTCAGCAACTAAATCTTATCCATGTAGGAATATTCACAAAATATTAAAGAAAACGGCAGTAGAATGACCGTAGGGATTCAGATAACTCTCACATGTAGCATTCAGGTATCAGGTATCTCAAACTTAACAATACATCAGCTAACTAAAACTTAACAGTACATCAGATAGCATTCAGATGTCAGGTATCATGTAACTGGAATTTAACTAAAACTAAAATAGATAAATGCAGTACCTAGTAGCATTCAAGTATCAGGTAGCATCACAAAAATCAGGTACATAAAAAAAATCAGGTAGTTCACATTCAGAAAAAAACTCTGAAATGAGCACTATAACTGAAAATAAATGAGCACGGAACAATTAACTAAAAATGAACAATGAAACTAAAATCACATAAAGGGATAAGAGGCAATTATCATCATAGAAAAACAACATATAGCTAAAAAATGTCTACTACAAAAATTATTCTGCAATGAGCATTACAGCGGGACACAAACTCATAATTAATTTTGTAGAACCGAGCTCTTCTCACAAATTAAACTGTCTTAAAAATCAACACCACATTTCCACTATCAAAAACAATTATAAATACCAATCTGCATCGAAAAAAACAAAGATACAATCAACAACAATAACGTATCATCTACCTCTACATCAATCGAACCATTCAAATCCCTCAAACCATTCAAACCACAAATCATATAAACAACAATCACAGGACAATGAACTAGCAAACAATCGTCAAGTCATTTTCTCAAGCAAATTAAGTTTTTGAATATAACCAAATTAACTTCAAATCTGAACCGACAAAACCAAGAGAAGAGGCACTGGAAGGATCAATGCTGATAGAGTCCAAGCATCGGAAAACAAAAGCTACAGACTATCTAAAAAGTACCGAAACTGGTTACTATTTCTAAACTGAAAAAGAAAGACGGATTCTCTGAACTGAATTGGTGAAGCTACAGAGGGCATTGCTGCATGCCAGCTACCACCGCCGTTATGATAGAACTGAGAAGAAAAGCAGCCAACAAATAAGAGAAATGACACAGATTTATTAGCATGGACAGATAACTGAGAAGTAACTGATTTCAGCACATAACAATTAGACAACAGTGACAAATAAACAGTACCATGTATTTGTACATAAAAGAAACTGAAGGAGCACAAGAGTGATGAACCTTACTATATATCTACTCAAAAGCCAAATAACTACTAGCAGTGACAAAAATTTGGTGTGTGCTGACACAAATGACAAAAAACAAACTTTAATATGTGTTAACACAAATCACATTAAATAATTTTTTTCTATGTAAGGACAAGGACAAAAATGAGATGTGCGTTGGCACAAATTAGAATTATCAAAGTTCATGAAGTGTTAGCACAAATCACAAGAGATAATTTTATTCTATCAAAGGACAAAGACAAAAACTTGGTGTATGTTGGCACAAATCACAAAAAAAAACAGATTTCAACATGTTTTAGCACAGATCACAAGAGATAATTTTTTTCTATGAAAGGACAAGGACAAATAATCATTATCTTGTTTGGTTTAAGAGTTATATACCATTTGGAAGCTATAAATTTTATACCAAAATCAAGAAAAGCAGTACCTCAAGATCAGGGCAGCGGTAGAATAATGGATCTCTAGCATCCACTACCATAACCAACTTCATGGAAGAAAGAAAATGACAGTCAGCAATTTGCACAAGAAAGATGTTACTCTACAATCAGAATAGCACGAACATGACTGAGCACAGCAAAGTAGCATATTTCCAGGAAAATTATACATAAGCGCCGATAAATAGATTGACGTTTGCAAGCTACACATCAAATATGTGCATGTTACTTTCTTAGAGTACTTTAACAAATGGTCCAGTATGAGCACACACTGAGACAAAAGGATTTGTAAGGCAACCAATGAAAAACACCAAATCCATAATGCTGACACTGACAATTCAGGTCAAGCATAAGTGATAGCTTACCAAATCACTGCATTTAAGAACTCTCCACAGCTGTTTCCAGATGTCAATATTCTTCTCGTATGGGGTAAAGACAAGATTATAATCCTGCTCCACTCTGCAGAGGACATTGCTAATCCGACTTACATACTCTAAGCATTAAATTGAAGAAATGGTGCTTCAAAATGCACTAAGCACTCCATGTCACATTTTACAACCAACACATACTGTTATGTCTAAGAATGTAAGCCACATATTTAGATTATCGAGATGATAAATCTAAAAGGTCAAAAAATAACCAAGCAATATACACGATAATGTCATCGTCAATCTCATAGGTTCACTTAACCCATGCGATACTTAGCCCCCCAAACATGTACTTCTACACGAAAATACGGTTCCACTAAACATTTCTAAGCACAAAAACAGCTGAGTAAGTAAAAGCATCTGAACCCAACCTCACAAGTTTCTTTTGCCACATCAGGAAATCCCACCGCTCATAAGCATCAAGCTCCTCACCGATGATTTGACTATCACACGGCAATCTGCAACTACAATCACATACACAAGATTCCTAATCCAAGGAACAATTGCAAACAACACACAAACAACAACGTGATCAGAAATATACTCACGGCCTAGGGACAATGGGGATGGTGGCGAGAAGCGCTTCCAGCTCCTTCCGCAGTGCCCGCCTCTCGTCGTCCGTCTCCCCCATCGCATCCCTGTGCGTGCGCGCAACCAACCCAACCCGATTAGCATCCACAACGAGGGAACATGCAAATTTAGTAGCACCGACAGCATGAGAGGCGGGAGTTCATTTTCCCCCATGGAGGACGGTGGGGGAGGGAGGCGGGAGCTCACGGCCGGTCGATGAGGAGGTGAGTGTTGTTGGAGGAGACAGACGCCACCACAGCGAGCTGGTTGGCCCCCGCAGCCCGCTGCAGCACGGCGTCCACGTCACTGACGTCGAGCGGCATCGAGCACGTGAAGGGAAGCGCCTCGCCCCTCTCCGTGGCTGTCGCCCCCATTGGCGCGCCCCCGAGCCTCTCGCTCTTCGCCTTCTCCTCGCCGCCCGCCATCACTTCGCGCCCACGGCCGATTCCCAAACCTCTGCGAGACGCCAGTAGTGGGTGGGAAGCCGTACTTGATTGAAGGATTTGGGGGGAGACAGATGCGATAGAGGAGGAGGGAGGGAGAGAAGAATACTCACCTGCGGGTGGACAAGGGGCGAACGAGGTCACCTCTCCGAGAGCGTCGAAGGGGAGGGGCGGAGCGGCGAGGTCGCCTCTCCTACCAGAGAGCGTCGGAGGGAAGGGGCGGAGCGGCGAGGTCAGGAGAGCGTTGGACAAGACAATGGGGAAAGGGGGAAATCAGACAGGCGCGACTCCCAAAAATTAAACAGTGGCGCCGACATCCAGACCCCACATGACAGAGACACAAAGCAACCAGCACAGATCGGGCGTTCCATTCTTCATCCTGCGGCCAGAAAATCCATGTGCCAACAAACCAAGAAACACACATGTGTCCTATAGCATTCCTGAATGTTTATGTTGGATTGGGCAGCTATAGCGCGAACATGTTTTATTTTAGCTAACGACTCATATGCTTTTAACATCATGGTTAGATGCGCATCGAGATTTACACACAAGAGAAGACATTAAATTATTCTCTCTCATGTAGGACACAAATCTCAATGTAGATCTTGTAGTCATTGCTCAGAAGCACGTGCACTACTAAGTTCTAACCCTTACACAATGACAAAAAAAACGTTGCGATAGACCCAATTTGGTTCAAAAGGTAGATGTTGCAACCAAATCGCATTCGTTGCTATATGTACAATCCTATTGCAACACATGCGACTATTACAAATAACGAAACATATTCGTTGCAACATAGACAGGCTATCGCAACCATCAACTACCTGTGTGCGAAGGCCCTTCTCCGTGTGTCCACGACCCCCGCGCCGACAAAGTCCTCTGGCTGGCGGAGGTGCGTGATCATTTACGCCTTCATGAACCAGGAGGGAGCAGAAAACTAAATGCATGAGTTTTAGAGGAGGGCGATAAGGAAGGCGTGACTCCATGCTCACCATCGTCGTTGTTGTGCCGATGTGTAGACCAGTCGGCCGCCGTCCTCATCCCTATGGTCGCGCTTACCTCCTTGATAGAGCCGTGGCGTATGGATTATTGGCCGTTGGAAGCATGGGGTCAGTGGCTGGCAGTGTCGGCATCTCTGCATCGGGCTCCTGCGCGAGCAGTGACGGCCTCCAGAGTGGCAGACTCCTACGTGTTCGAGCGTGGGCTCCTGCACGGGCGGTGCCAGCCTCCAGAGCGCTGGACTCCTACGTGTACTCCAGAGCGGCGGACTCCTGTGCGAGCAGCAACGACCTCTTGCACTAGCCGCAACAGACTCCACGGATGGAGTGAGCTGTGCGACGAAGAGGAAGATGATTTTTGTTTCATGACGAGGAGTGGGCCCATTTTGATTGAATAGCAAATTTTACCGAGGCTGTTGGATTAGTCCCATTCTTTTTAGAGGTTTTTTATTTTACAAAAGGGCTAGCTGAATCATCAAATTTAGAATATGTTTTTAGCTAATCTCTTGAAGATGCTCTTATGTTCAGGGTAGTAGAGGGATGGACCGTCGTGTGAAAGAGTGAGTGAGTGAGTGAGATGGCAAGAAACAAATGAAGAAATTTTCTTTTTTAATATTAGGACATTAGATGATTCTTGAAATTGTTTTTCTTTACTTGGACTATGGATCATCATGTTGTTCTCGACTGATCTAACAAAATAAGGTTCACACTGAATATATTCATTGTTTACCATTGAGATATTCTATTTTATCTATCTTCAGAAACATTGAACAATTTTTTTATAAATCAACACAGTATAGACATATACACTCCCATACATGCACACATATTCTTCCCTATGAACGCACATACGTGCACACATTCTAACCTTGTGAGCAACTCTAAAAGACCGAGCTGACAGATTGATAAAGTCATCATAAATGTGTCATTGTCAAGGGATATATTGTTTATCATTAAAAGAATATATAAATACCGTTAAATTCTGAAATAAATCCAACAATTAAAAGATATTACTTATAAGCCGTATTTTTTCAGCCAACAAACAATATTTTTCTCTCACAACAAATCAGCCAATAGTACTTTCAACCATAACTTATCAGCCAAGCGAACAGGTAATAATAAACTAGCTAGTGGGCTCCCGCGTTGCGTCACAGCCCCATACGTGCATTAATTTTTGTAATAGGCCCACTACAAAAACACAGACACGACATGTCAGCGCTGCTGAAACAAACTAAGGTGCTGCTTGGTTCCATGGTGGGAGTGGCAACGTAAATGCAATCAGCTTACGGTGGTATGTGTTGCATGGGAAAGGAATGCTGGGTATTTGTTTGGTTCATTTTCTTATTGTCTTGCAGCCGGCTACGGATCGGATAACACCCGCAGAGGAGGGGCAACAGGATTGCACAGGCCGTACTCTGATAATGCCGCGATCGGTTACTGGCTGGAGCAACCAAACAAAAAGCAACGTAATCTATTAGCGCTGTTAATTGGTTACGGGACAAGAAGGCCAAACCAAACAGCACGCGTAGACTCTGATCGGAGACACATTGGAAATGGAAACAAACAAAAGCTACGAACTAAGAAAAATCAAAATGACTTAGAGTTTAGAATCTATCTATCTATTTATCAATCTATCAATGATTTATTTCTAGATTAGGATTCTTATGACCATACGCACGAATTGTCTCAAATAGACAATACCATTACTGTGTTCCATCATCATGACTCATGAGCTGCTCAGTAACCTTTAGGGCAGTTGTGCAGTATGAGTATGAGGGGGGGAATTGTGGTTGTTAGCTTTTGTACATATATGTTTTTAAAATTGGACTGTATATATACCGTCACTACTGAAAATTCGAATTGTTCTGTGGATGATGAATTTTTCTGTGCGTTTTTTTTGGTACGCACAGAAAAATTATGATTTTTCTGTCGGTTTCAAAATATCCCGACAGAAAAATACGAAAACTTATAGAATAATTGTATGATTTTTCTGTGCGTGACAATACACACACGAAAAAAATCAGCACTCACAGAAAAATAAAACTTATTCTGTCGGTTCTTTAAAAACGCATAGAAAAAATATATGCACGCACAGAAAAAATGTTATTATTCTGTCGGTTATTTTAAAACGCACAGAAAAAACATACACACGCACAGAAAAAAACCAAGAAGTCCTAACCCTAACCCGCCAGCCGCCGCCTCCAAACATCCTCGCACGCACGCTCCCCTCCCTCCCCTTCTTCTTCCCCGCCGCACCTCCCTCCCTCCTCCCAAGCCCCCCCCACCGGTGAGATCCAGTGATCGGTGGTGCGCCCCCTCTCTCCCCTCCCCTACCTTCTTCCCGGCGCGGCCCCTCCTCCCCGCTCCCCCACCGGCGAGATCCGGCGGGCGGTGCCGCCCTCCCTCCCCCTCCCCTACCTTCTTCCTCGGCGCTGCCCCTCCCTCTCCCCTCCCCTACCTTCTTCCCAGCGCGGCCCCTCCTCCCGCTCCCCACCGGCGAGATCCGGCTCGGCCGGTGCCGCCCCCTCTCTCCCCTCCCCTACCTTCTTCCCCGGCGCGGCCCCTCCCCTTCCGCTCCCCACCGGCGAGATCCAGCGGTCGGTGCCGCCCCTCTCTCCCCCTCCCGCACCTTCTTCCTCGGCGCAGCCCTCCCTCCCGCTCCCCACCGGCGAGATCGGCAAGGTGGTGGTGCCGCCCTCCTCCCTCTCCCCCTCCCCTACCTTCTTCCCCGGTGCGGCCCCTCCCCTCCCGCTCCCCACCGGCGAGATCCGGTGGCTGGTGCCGCCCCCTCCCTCCCTCCCTCCCCCAATGGCGAGATCCAGGGAGGGGGCGGCGGGCGCAGCCCCAGCGGCGGAGCGGAGGGAGGGGCAGCTGTGGCTGCTGGCGAAGCCAGCACTGGCCGAGAGCGCCAAGTGGTGGGGGCGTGGTGGTGGATGAGGATGCGGCGTGATGGATGGTGGCGGCGGTGCTGGTGGTGCGGGCGTGGATGGCGCGCATGGCGGTCTTTGGTGGTCTTGGTCGTGGTGTCGGCGTGTTTTTTTTCATTAGAGCTTCTGTTAGCTGTATAATTAGCGAGTAATTTAATTCGTGCTTTGCTGCTTTGCTTCCGTGCTGCTTGAGAATTTGCTAATTGTTCCTAGTGTTTTAGTACTATGATATCTGGTTGTTTTTTCTTCCTTGGTTCTGACCTGTTCATGTCTTGTCTGATCTTGTCATAGGCTTACACGGTGTCATTTTATTGCTGCATTACTAAGAGAAGATGGAATTCTCACTGTAGCCATTTGCAAACTTGAATGAGCCCCTGATTACACTTGACAAAGGTGAATTTCGTTTTTGTTCAATCAAGTTTAGAAAGAAAAAACATGTTCAAATTGTTATCCGGTACTTGGACTTTCAGGATAACATATCCTCGATAGTAAATTAACTGAACAAAATTTGTAAATGTTTGCTCACTACAAGTTAATCTGTCATCATCTGTGTGGATTGATATGCTTTGCTCTTTTTATAGACAAAATCAAACTTCATCTGCGGTGGTTGGGGTTCACAGTTTGTGGATGCATATGTAGCATGTCTTTCTTTTTCCAATTGTTGCTTTGCCTATCAGAACTATTATGTCAGCATATGCCTCTATGGTAATGCTTGCCTTGCTCCATTGCGTTAGTAGTAGTTGTCCTATAGATGTAGCTGCAGGATCTTGTTATTCTTATGATAAAAAAATCTGACTTTGCACCTTTGGTTGGTCAGATTGGTGACACCCATGGCCGCGATGAGCTAGGACTCTGGATCTGGTGGCATGTCTTATTTGTTTGGAAATTTAAGGTTACATGTGAATCTGTTGTCTTGTCTGACATTAGGGCCTTCTTGTTTGTTCTTTTAACATGTTTCTGCTTATCGCAAATCTAGCATTAGGCTGATGCTCTGTACAATTTAAATTGATAGATACTTAGTTGAAATATGAATTTAAACATCACTATGATCGGGTAG